TTTTTATTTAATTTGAATTCAATATTTTTATAATTTATTTTATTTTTACCATTTTAATTTTAGAATTTTCAATTAAAATATAAACTAACAAAAGTATTATTATCAAGTTTAAAAGTTAAAATAAGTTGTCTAATCATTAATTATTCATATTTTTTAAAACTAATTAAGTTAAAATTTTATTTAAAATTTAATTATAGTGATTAGTCTGTTTCTATTTTTGGAGCATGTTGGTATAACATGAATTTAAAGTTTTAAAAATGAGAAGAAGAGTAACATACAATTATTTCCTTTGACTTATAAAGTTAGAGATGTCAATCGGGCAGGTTGGGTGGGTTTCGGGTTATCGTCACTTGGGTCCAGGTTTAATGAGTTAGGTAATTTTTTCGGGTCATTCGGGTTATCGTTTATTTTTCTGATCAAATCGGGATCGATCGGATTGGACAGGTTATTGGGTTCATGTCAAGTTTTGACAGCTTTACTTATAATTAATGGGTCACGTGCAACGCGCGTGGGAGTGAAGACTAGTAATAAATAAAAAGCAAAATAGCACTACCTTATAAATTACTATAAATTACATTCCTAAAAAAAATTATTAAGTAATAAGAATTTAATTTAATCAGTAAAATGGTAACCTAACCTCCATTATTATTAAAACCTTTAATATATTTTTTATATAATAACCATAAGTTTTTCATAAACAAATTTTTTGGTAACCATGTATTATATCTCCATTATTATTATCATGATGAAATGGTTATTAGAAGTTTTTTTTTCTTGAATGATTATTAGAATATTTTGTAATGTGTTTTTGTTTAATGTATACATTGGACTCACTAATCTAGAATTCTTGAAGCGTGCAATGTCAAACTTTAAATGAAAAAATCCTCCCAATTTTTTTTTTATCTCCATTCACAATACTTGAATTCAAGATTTTTGCTTATATTCATTGACATTGGCATTTTTCATTAAATCCGTTGGTTCTTTTTTTTTTGGCCGAAACAACATAATATATTATTAATAGTAGAATAAGTCATTACAACTGGTCAAAGAGCTAGGGACGAGAAAAACAGAAATCCCAGTAGCTCTTTAACAAAACAGAAGATAAACTAAGGAGGGGCTGGAACACCATCTTTGTCGCAGATGTAGAGTAATTGGGATGGGGGTCGAGAAACCCAATCAAGAGGGCACATCCCTTTCCTCATAGAAGTCGCAACCCAGTTGGCTGCCATATTTGCTTTCCTACCAATCCAAGAGATATCCACAGTAGAAATCAGGGCCATAGCATCTTTAATATCTTTAACAATTGGCAGAATTTTCCAATCTAGAACATAGTCCTTGGGAGAACTTGTAATACTGCGCTGCACAACCTCAGAATCTGTTTCAATAGCAAAATGTTCAAACTGACGATCTTTGGCAAGAATAAGAGCTTCTTTAACAGCAATGGCTTCCGCCTCCACACTAGAAGTTACCAAGAGAGGCTTAGCAAGACCATCTATAATTCTGCCATTGCAATCTCTAACAATGACTCCACAAGCAGCAGTACCTGTGAGTTCATCGAATGCACCATCGCAGTTAATTTTCAAATGGCCAACAACAGGTTTCTGCCAAATAGCATTAGCACTTTCCTTACTATGAACTTTGGCTGCTGTATTCCTATACTCTTTAGCTTTTTGAAACTCAAGGACTGCTTTCTCAGCGACATAGATAACATGCTCAACACAGAGGCCTTTCTTTTCAAAACATGCAGCACACCTAGCCTTCCAAATCTGCCAACATATAAAAGCTATTATGGCCTGCAACTCAATTCTAACTGATTCTCTAACACCCTTCATATTAAGAACTTCAAAAATCCACACATCAAAAGTAGTAATCCTTCTCCTATCAATCTGGTAGTTAAGACAAGATCCAAACCAAACACACTGGACCCAATCACATTCCAAAAATAAGTGCTCAATTGATTCTTCCTTTTTTAAACATAAAGGGCATATAGGAGACACACAACATTTCCTTTTCCAGAGATTGTGAAAAGTAGCTAGACTATTGGAGCAGGCTCTCCACAGAAAATTTCTAATCTTATTTGGAACAGGTAGACTCCAGATAAGCTTCCAAGTATGGCTACTGACCTGATGTGAAGAGGAGGAAGTAGACAGGATTCTTGGGGCTTGATCCTTAATTGCAAAATACCCTGATTTTACAGAATAAATACCATCCTGATTATGAGGCCAAACCACCCGGTCCTCTTCATTGCTGTGGGAAATAAGAAGTTTCTCTATATTGTTGATTATAGCAGGTTCCACCTCTTGCTTGATAGCCTTCAGCTTCCAAATCCCTTCTTCCTTGTCCATTATTTCTGCTACTTTCCTCGGGAGGTTACCACCAATGATTTCTCCTTGCTGTTTAAGATAATCATATCTCGGTACCCATCTATCCTTCTAGATATCAACCTTCTTGCCATTGATAACTTGCCATCTTATATGCTCTTGTAATACCTTCCTGCCTTCAATGATGCTATCCCAAGACCATGAAGCTCTTGATATTTTGCGGGCCTCCATAAAGTCACAGTCCTTGAAGTAGAGAGCTTTGAGAATTTTAACCCAAAATGCATTAGGTTGGGTTAGAATCCGCCATCCTTGCTTTTCGAGGAGGGCCCTATTGAAGTCTTCTAGATTTCTGAAACCAATGCCTCTTTTCTCCTTCCCATTTGTGAGCTTTTCCCAACTTAACCAGTGTATTTTGCTACTCTCATCACCTTGTCCCCACCAAAAACTGGCCATATCAGAATTAATTTCTCCACATAACTTCTTAGGCAACTTGTAGCCAGACATAATATAAGTAGGCAGCGCACTAGCAACCGATTTAATGAGAACTTCCTTACCACCTTGAGATAGCCAGCATTGCCTCCACCCTTGCAGCTTATCTTTAATCCTCTCCTGGATAAACTTCATTGCTTGACATTTAGTTTTACCCCAAAGGTTAGGCACTCCCAAATATGTTCCAGGGTTAGGTGCACCAACAATCTGCAGAGAAGCTTCAACTTGAAATCTGACATCAGCAGGAGTGTTGTTGCTGAAAATTATACTAGATTCCTGCAGGTTCACCAGCTGGCCCGAGGCATCACAATAAGCTTTGAGGATCCAAGTCATGCCATCACAATTCTCCTTAGTAGCTGCAAGGAAGAAAAGAGAGTCATCTGCAAAGAGCAGATGGGTTAGAGGAGGACAATACCTACTCAAATAGGTACCATGGAGGACACCAACAGACACGGCTGAGTGGACCATTCTAGACAAGACATCGACAACAAAAAGGAAAAGATAAGGGGAAATAGGGTCCCCTTGCCTAAGACCTCTACTAGGAATTATACTACCAGAAGGCTTATCGTTGATAACAAGAGTATATGAGACCGTAGAAAGACACTCCATAATCCACTTAATCCATTTTTGACAAAAGCCAAACTTTTCCAGAATTGCTTCCAAGAAACCCCACTCCACCCGATCATATGCCTTGTTCATATCCAACTTAAGGCCCATATAATATTTCTGACCCTTCTTCTTGAGCTTAAGGTAATGAAATGCTTCAGAGGCTATCAGGATGTTATCTTGGATCTGCCTTTCCCCAACAAAGGCACCTTGCTCCTGGGTGATGATAGAATCCATATAGGGTTTGAGTCTGTTGGTTAAAATTTTGGAGATAATTTTATAGACAAAGTTGCAGAGACTGATAGGTCTAAATTGGTTTACAGATTCTGGGTTTTTGGTTTTAGGGATAAGGATGATATTAGTGTTATTAATCTCGTGAAGCATTCGACCAGAGGAAAAGAAACTCTTAACAGCTGCACACACCGCCTCCTTCACAATCTCCCAATATTTTTGATAGAAAGTGCCATTGTACCCGTCAGGGCCTGGGGCTTTATTAGCCCAAAGTTGAAAGGCTGCAATTCTGATTTCTTCCTCAGAGATATCTCTAGTGAGCTCCCCATTCATATGATCAGTTACAACCCTAGGAACATGTAGCAGAACTTGGTCCCAATTCTTAGAATTGTTAGAAGTGAAGAGATCAGAATAATAAAGCTCGAATTCCTCAACAATCTTCTTTTCCTCTTCGATCCATTCACCATTGTCAGATTTAAGATTGAGAATTTTGTTGGTCTGTCGCATCTGAATAGTAGTTTGATGAAAGAACCTGGTATTAGCATCCCCATCCTTGAGCCACTTGATTCTAGACCTTTGATACCAGTACTGCTCTTCTTTACTCCATGCTTCCTTAAGTTGAGAAATAAGTTCCTCAACCTTAATACAGCTTTCAACAGAACACTCATTATCTTGGATGGCAGCAATTTTCTGTTTTAAACATTCAATGGCCTCCTTATTATTGGGGAAAGCCTTTCTGCTCCAATCCAAAAGGGCTTTCCTACAGCTATTCTGTTTTTGCACCAGGATATAGGATTTAGAACCCATAAACTCATTGGACCAGCCATCCCTAATAACTTGCTCACAATGCTCACTCTCAGTCCACATGATCTCAAATTTGAAAGACCGAGGGGTTTTTTGATCAATGAAGTTCGAATCTATCAGAATAGATGAGTGATCCGAACCAATAATGGGGTTATTGAAAACCTGTGTGTTAGGAAACTGCTCAACCCATTCAATGTTAACAAGGACTCTATCCAACCTTTCCTTAATAACTAACTCATCTCTTCTCCCAATCCAAGTGAATTTCTGACCTTGGAAGGGTAGATCAATCAAATTGCAGCCATCAACCATCTCCCTGAATTTCCTAATCTTCCAGTATTCCTTAGTATTCCCACCTTCCTTCTCATGGAGATACAGAATATCATTGAAATCCCCTACACATAACCAAGGGATATTCTGATATTCCATTCTCCTCTTGACCAGATGCCAAAAATGAGCTCTATCATCAGCCTCAGGAGGCCCATACACCCAAAAGATACGACAAACAACACCACTCTTCAGATCAGTTTCTGTAGAATCAATTAAATTCTTGCAGCTTCTGATTATATGGACAGAAACATCATCATGCCACAATAAGGCCAAACCACCACTAAGTCCTTCCGGCTCTACATAAAAACAAAATCTAAACTTCAGATTCCTCTTCAGATTCTCCATGTATTTCCTCTTATTCTTCGTCTCCATAATAAAGAGAATCTGGGGACCATTTTTCCTTATGAGCTCTTTAAGAGCTTGGACTGTCAAGGCTGGCCCCGCACCCTGACAGTTCCATGAAAGCAGCCTCATATATCTAGGGTGACTGTTCTAGGACAGCCACCAGAACCCTTAGAGTTATCAGCCGAAGCTTGCATTGCCATCAAATAGGCCACATCAGCACTAACTTGCACTTCTCTAAGTCTTCCATTACCAACAATGCTAGCTCTTTTTCTCATCCTTCTGTTCACCATAATCCTGTTAGCTTTATTACTCATTATAACATCAGTATCCTGGGAAGCAACCATATCAACAGCTAAACTGCTTTCATTAGAAATATACTTAATTATAAAGCCATTTTCATTCTCCACCCACATCCTTTTACTACTAGCTTTATCATTCAGCAAGGCATCCTCAAATCTCCTTTTAAGATTTAAGTTTCTAAAAAAGCTCGATAGACCAATCTCTACTTGATGCAGAACAGTAGGATCAACATTCACCACAGTAGAAGTAGACTGCTCAGAAGACAGAGTATCAACTTGTGATTCATAAGCTATACTTTTAATAATGCTTGAGTGATCATGCTCACTTAAGGAAGCAATAAGTTTATCACAACCAGATTCAGAGGAGACCAGGTTCTCCTTATTACAAACTAGGGAGTTATCAACATAAACTATATCCTTAGAAGAAGGGGGAGTGTTAACAGAAGATAAGCTAAGGTTTTGGGAATTAGAGGGATTTAGAGGTGTATTGGTTTGCAAAGAGAAGGAAGAATTGGATATGTCAGAGAGGGGACATTTTTGAGTAGAACAAGAAAGCTCAGTGAGGGAAGAATTTTCTATTAATTGAGAAGAGAAATTAGATTTAGATTTGGGAGGAAAGAATATTTTTTGTTTTAATAGAACTTTTTGGATTTTTTGTGCTAGGTTTATAGGAGGTTGTGTTATAAAGAATGGATTTAGGTAGGTTAATGGGCTTGGATTTAGGAGAGATGGGCTTAGAAAGAGAACATTTAAAGGAAAACAAATCATCACCCGAAGATTCTAGGCTAGAAATATTAGGGGCACACCTTCGAGAACCGGTTGACTCAGTACTAAAAAAATCTCCTTTGTCAACAGAGACTAACTGGCTATCCACATATTCAGCAGTGATTTGCTTATTCAGATCTGAGTAGCCACAATTTCCACTACTATCGTCACCAACATTCTCGATTCCCGAACAACTAATTCCTTGGGAAACGCAATCAACTACACGCGCTTTATCATTGGAAACACCAGAGTTACCACGCGCTTGGCTGACCCTTTCAGAAATTTCAACGCGCTTCCTAAATGAATTACCCACAAACGTCTCACGCGCCGCCATCTTAGATTTCTTGGCCAATTCACAAAACTCGCCCTCTTCTTCCTCGTTAAGCACTGGAATCCCATCGGACTGAGATTCCGGCAGTACTCTGGTTAAGATACCAGCATTTTCATGAAGAGGACCCTCATAAGGAAGTTCAAAAGTTCCTTTCTCATCAACATTTATCAGCCGATCCTCCATAACTGATCTCACCGGAACTGCTCTCATCCAAGGTCCAAAAGCACATTCTCTGCTACCGACTGGCATCGATTCACCACAGTTCTTCCCAGATGACCCAACTTCCCACATCCAAAACAGAAATCTCCTAATTTCTCATACTTCAATCTTACCCAAATTTTCGCCTTATCTTTGCGAGGAACCCAAAACCCAGGGATCAAGGGTTTATGCACATCAAGTTCCAAGTGAAGACGCATATAGCATCTACCAGAGCCTTGATTCCACTCCGGCTTTTCTAGAGTTACCACTCTCCCAATAGAATCACCAATTTTCTTAAGATTGACCACAGTCTGCATTTCCAAGGGCAAATCGTGGACCTGAACCCAATATTGAACTTTATCAAAAGAAATTTCCGATATGGACTTCTCGACCTCCCATCGTTTTAGAATTAAGCAAAAACCCATAACCGTCCAAGGACTATCAATCATCGCTTGGACCATTTGATCTTCCGTTTGGAAAGCCAGACCATAAATTTGCATGCCAAGCTCAGAAACGATCGAGCCCTCCTTCAAACCCCAGATACTACGAAAACTCCCATAGCACCTTTGCGATTGATCGGTTTATCAGAGTGAATTTTACCAATAAGAAGGAATTTAGTAGCTTCCTTCACATATTCACTATTAGACTCCAAACAGATCTCCATGACAACCAAACACCAGGAAAAAGATGAAAACAAATCGGAAAAAGGGAAAGTGGAAACGGAGTACCGTTCTACCGTCCTGTTACCAGGCGCCTTCAATCCTAATCCTAGGGCTCTAAGAGATCAAGAAAACGCAGACACACAAAGATCTAAAGACTCTCTAAACCTAAGATCCACTCCTATCCTAAGGAAGAAAGAGAAAGAGAAAGGAGAAAGGAGAAAAAGGAAGACAGAGGACGAAAAACAGAAAAGAAAGGAAAGAAAAGAAGAAAACAAAGAAAAAGAAAGAAAAACGCAGAAGAAAGACTCAGAAACAAAGAAAAAGCTGAAAGAAAAGGTAGGAAAATAAGAAGACTCTAGAGAAAAACCCAGAGAAACTCTCAGGAGAGAGAAAAGGCACTCTCATGAAGAGAGGGAAAAATAATTATACCAATTTTAAATCCGTTGGTTCTAAATCATATGTTCTTTGATTTATTATACCCTCTACTACTTCTTATGCCTTATTTTGGTTGTGCAAAATAATTTCTTTTTTATATTTATTTTTCACTACATCTAAGTCTTTGACCTTTGTTTTCATTTATAAAAAAAATTTGGTGATATTAAAAAAAAAAGTTTAAGTGAGTAGAAGTGTTTCCACTTCAAAGTCAAAACAGACCACAAGTTTCATAGTTTTTACTTTTTACAGTGACACATACAAATATCCACTAATGAAATTGTTAGCCATAAAATTGTTGGTTAGACTTGAATCCCAAATCTTTCAAGCACAATTCTAAGGTTTTTCAATCAACCTATTTTATAATCATGAAGTTTGAAACCTTCAAAAGACTAAAATAAACCGTTTTTTTTTTTGTGAAAACAAGCAGTATATACCCCGAGGGAAGGATACTCCCCTAGCATCAGCGTCCAATAAAGTCTTCAGCCCATCAGGCGGATCAGATAGTAGCTCAAAGTCGTCATCCAGAACACATGTAACATTAGCCAACCAATCAGCATAAAAGTTATCTTCTCGGTAGGTATGCTGTAAAGAACAATGCCACTCCCTGCTCAACAAAATTCGAATATCCATGATAAGACTTCCCAGAGGGTGTGTAGCAACATCACTTTTCTCAATAAGATGAAGATCTATTGCAATCAGAGCATCAGTCTCACAAACGATCTCTCTGTATCCACATTCCCATGCCACCTGTAAACCTCTTCTATTTTAAATCATTACCTTTTTACCAAATTATTACTTAAAAAAACAAAAACAAGTTCGGGAATTTGTCATTTTTCTGCTCCAAATAAACACAAACACACATAAAAAAAATTCAATTACTACAACATCAAAACAAAATAGCACACTGAAATCATTGATTTCATATCTTTTTCACATGTTTTCTATTTACTAACATAAATAAATAGGGTAAAAACTAAAAAGGTTCTCAACAACAAATTCTCATTATAAACTTGTGATAAGTTTACATGCCCCCTTTGGTTCCCTTGAGGCAAATAGTTGGCAAGTTACTACATTGTATAAGATTTTGCTTTAAAATATGTGTGAACTTAGTTTGGGGTTTTGATTCTAGTTATAGTTTTTGTGTTGTACATGTGTTTGAACTTTTTTTTTGAAAGGCATATGTGTTTGAACTTTGGCCAAAAAAAAAAACTTTGATTAATGAAATTGGCCAAAGAAAGAACTTGATATCAATTAAATCAGAATATTTATGTACCCAATCATAATTATTCCCTCCCATTCAAAATAAGTTGGATTAAAGAATAAAGATCAATCTTAATTCTGATAAAAAAAGGATCAATCTTAATCTAATAATGTGTGTTCAAAAAATATTAATCTAAAATAATGTAAAGTCTAGTCAAGTAGCATCTCCTGGCCTTGTTTTTTTTTGTACGTAAATTTTAAGTTCAATTTTCCTTTTGGTGCAATGTCCCTTAGGGCAAAATTCTTTTACAATGTTGCATTATTAGATTTTTGGGGCCAATTTCATTTTTGGTATCCCATCCGGCATCCAGGACAAACTAATCCGGATTCAACCCGCGTCGCGCACCTGGTTATGATGGGTGAGTCTCCCGACAGCACGTTTGTTCTGGCACAAGTTGCTAATTTTTGTTTTTTCGGCATTCGCACAAGTTGCTAATTAGTACAGTTTCCAGATCAAAAATATACGCTGTTAGATTTTGTTAGTAAAAAACTCAAACCCAAAATCAAACACTCAAACAAAAAAAAAAAAAAAAAAAGGCAAAAACCCTGGCGAAGTAGCCAACCCAAAACCTAAAAAATCATCTCAGTTTGAGTTTCTTTCCCCGACAGTGGTTCCTTCCATCAATCTAAGGGAATGGCGCTTGACCCCAACGCAGAGCAAGAAGCACAAAGCCTGAAAGCACTCGCAGAATCCAAATACAAGGATTCAAACCTCAAATCAGCTTTGAAACATGTGAAGAAAGCCCACCGTCTTTGTCCAGGCCTCGAAGGCATCTCGTCGATGCTCACTGCCTTTAAAATTCTCCGGGCGGCTTCCAAAGCCAGCGGTGCTCCAGAATGGTATAAAGTCCTACAGGTAGAACCCTTTTCCCACATAAACTCAATCAAGAAACAATATAGAAAACTAGCATTGATTTTGCACCCTGACAAGAACCCATATTTAGGATGTGAAGAAGCGTTTAAACTTGTGGGTGAAGGGTTTAGGATATTTTCAGATAGGATAAGGAGACAAGAATATGATATGAAGCTTCGCATTAGGATGCAGGAGGAAAGGATTGATGGGCTGGAAGGGAATGGTGTAGTAGGTGAGACGTTTTGGACTGCTTGCTCCCGGTGTAGGTTGTTGCATAAGTTTGAAAGGAAGTATGTAGGGCATAATTTGGTCTGCCCAAGTTGTAAGAAGAGCTTTTTGGCTGTGGAGGTTGATGGAGAAAGTGGTGGCAATGAAAGTACAGAGGAGGAGGATGTATTGGCCACAATTAGAGGCAGTGAGAGGTTAAAGAGGAAGACTGGGTCGAGGGAGAAAGCAGACACTTTGAAAAGTGTTGGATTGGACGGTAAACAGGGTAGTGGTGAGACAATTCGGAGTGTCGGGTTAAGGAGGAAAGTTAGTGGTGGAAATTTGAAGGAGAAAGAGGTTATTGCTGATGATAGCTCTGGGAAGGCAGCAGATGGTGGTGAGTGGGGTGCAGGGAGATTGAGGAGTGGGGGTTTGAAGAGGAGGACAAGTACTGTTGGGGAGGTATTGGCAAGATCAGTAGCTGGGAAGGTGGGAGATGAAGAGATGGAGGATAGATCAAAGTCGAAGAGGGCTGTTGCAGACGAGACAATGACACTAGCAGAAATGCAGTTGGCAATGAAGCGAAAGGCGAATCAAGGAAGGGAAAAATTGAATCTGAAAGAAAAGGTGAAAGATACAGCTCAAAAGGAGAAGGAAAAAGAGACACAAGAGCCTCCAAAAAGTAGAGTTTCAAATGTTGAGAAACAGAATGCATCAGAGAAGAGTCAGGATTCTGAGATTGAGAGTCAAGGTCCTTCAAAATTGGCTGGAGATTTGGGGATTGTTACACGTTCGGCTAAGAAAAAGAGTGTAGATATGGAAGCCAAGACTAAAGAGGGTGGGAAGAAGAATCAGAATTCAGAGCTCACGAAACAAGGGACTTCTAGAAAAAAAGTGAAGTTGGACATGGAGAAGCACCGCAGTTCAAAGAGTAGGAACACGGATATCATAGCTGTGGAGGATTCGTGTTTCTATGATTTCGATAAAGACAGGTTGGAGAGGAACTTTAAGAAAGGGCAGGTGTGGGCTATTTACGATGATGATGATGGGATGCCTAGGCATTACGGTTTGATTGAAGAAGTATTTTCTGTAAATCCTTTTGAAGTGAAGATGAGTTGGTTGGAGTTTCAGAACAATGCGGATGACAGGTTGATTAGTTGGGACAAAATGGGATTTCATATATCTTGTGGGAGATTTAAGACTGTCAGGAAGAGTTCCATCACCTCTGTAAGTATCTTTTCACACATGGTAGAATGTGAAAGGGCAGCAAAGGAATTTTATAGGATTTATCCGAAGAAGGGCTCTGTTTGGGCAATTTATAATGAACCTAAAATAGGTGCAGCAGGAAGAAACCATTCAGCCAAAGATGAACAGTCCTACTACATAGTTGTGTTTTTAACTACCTATAGTGAGATTCATGGATTGAGCATGGCATATCTTGAGAAGGTTGATGGATATAGGACAATATTTAAGAGACAGGAGATTGGATGTCAGGCTATTACATGGGTTGAAAAAGATGATATTCGGTTATTTTCACATCAGATTCCCGCACAGAAGCTTTCTGGTGATGATGTCCCTGATCATTTGAAAGATTGTTGGGAACTTGATCCTGCTTCACTTCCTCGCAACCTTCTTGCTATTGACCAGGAAAGATGATACTATGTATTTTAGAATCCTTATTAGCACACTGTATAGCTTTTTCTTAATCATTTAGGAGGGACCTTTATCTAAATGCAAGTTAAAAAAACCCTGCAGATTTCTGTGTAATATTCTAAGAGTAGCTGCAAATATCTCTCACCCTCTTGTTTTCTTAAATGCAAGTTAAAAAAACCCTGCAGATTTCTGTGTAATATTCTAAGAGTAGCTGCAAATATCTCTCACCCTCTTGTTTTCTTAATTTGGCAGATTCTGAGCCGCCATCCTTACCTTTGTTAACCATGCAGTTTTCTCTTGTCTACCGTCTCATGTTTTTCATTAACCGTGTAGTTGCAGTCTTGCAATGCAGATATAGATTTTGCCTCTTGCACTCATTAACATGTTGTCTTAGGTGCTTCCTGCCTGTTTAACATTACTTGATAAGTGTTTTACTTTGAGCCTGAGGCAACAATTAACAAGATGGTGTGTCTGTCTGGTTCATCACCTCTGAAAATGGTTTGGTTTTGCCAAGTTTCCAGCATATCAGTTCCTGTATGATTTCCATTTTGGATTCTTCTGATCTGACAAACATGACCAAGTTTTAAGGCTTCTGATTTGTATTGATAAAAATTTGGTTGCGTTATGAAATGAAGTGTATGATATTCGTATACTCTTGAAGTGTATGATTTTCTGTAGTGGGGTCAAATAATATACTTAAGTTTCTTTCCATGACTTGTTTAGCAGAACTCTAAAACTTGCCTGAGCACTCTATAAATATACTAGGGTTCTTATATCTTAAACTTACTGCTATACATCTTTTACTTACTAGTATCATGGCCAGAATCATGAAAAGAAATATGCTTTTGTTGCTATATGTCGGGATGCTTGCTTCTCTAGTGCTGCGTTAGCTTATGGTAAAGGCAAAATCTTTGATATAACTCATAAAATCACCTCTGATTGCGGACCTTTAACTCTAAGAATGGGCTCGGCAAATTTATTTGGCTTGTTTCCAGCATTAAAAATGGCTCCATGGCTAATGAATCTGAGTTAAGTTGGGAACCCACACTGTAAATTTGGCTTGTTTCCAGCATTAAAAATGGCTCCATGGCTAATGAATCCGAGTTAAGTTGGGAACCCACACTGGGACTCACGTTGATGCTCCCAGCCATTTCTATCAGAAATATTATAAGGAGAGTTTTGATTTGTCTACTCTCAGCCTGGAAGTGCTTAATGGTAAGTCTGTAACCTTTCATCAATTGCTTCTCAAGCATGACGTGTTCATATTGTTGGGAAATTTGCTCATCTGGGTTTTCCAACGAGAAGCAAATTAACAATACTGTCTTAATTTCTTAGCTTGATATTGTGCAATTCTTGTTACTGTTTCTCTTTAATCTCGTTGATGTGCTAGTTCTAATGATTTGATTGCTACCCTTTCATTTTCCCTTTCCCTCTCTGTCTCTTTCCCCCTTGGTTAATCAGTTTGTTCATTCTTTGCCTGATGATGATTATGTGTTTTATTGTTTGTTAGGTCCTGCTCTGGTTTAATGTTCCAAGAGATAAGAACATTACTGGTAAGTAAGCTTGTTCCCTGATAGGCTTTCCCCCCTCTAATCTGTTTAGTTAATGTTCCATACACTTACTTTCCCCCTTTTTACTCTTAAAGATCATTCATTTT